CTAAGGAGTGTCTGATATGGACCATGGTCTTTGCAATCACTTGTTATGCATCAGAGAGTTGGACTATGACTAGGGAGGATAGAAGGAGAATTGATGCCTTTGAGCTGTGGTGCTGGAGAAGAGTGTACCATGGACTGTTAAGAAAACAAACAGATTAATCATGGAGAGGATTAAACTGGGCTGCTCCTTGGAGGCAAGGATTCTGAGACTCTGTCTGACATACTTTGGACATGTTGTCAGGAGGGACCAGTCCTTGGAGAGGGACATCATGCTTGGGAGGGTCAGCACAGGAGGAGAAGGGCCCCTATGAGGTGGACTGATTCAGTGACTGGGGTAATCTGGATGGGTGTGTCGGAGACAGTGTGATTGGCACAGGACAGAACAGAGTTTAGGACTGTTATACATAGGGTCACTATGAGTCGCAAGCAACTCTAAGGCACATAACAACAACAACATATTTGTAATAATGTTATACAGTGTAGTGTTCATATGTGATCACTTGCCTCCTGATTTAATCTTATTCAGCCTATTACAGAATTTGGAACCTTAAAGTGACTATCTATCTGTGCCCTAAATGACTTGAATTCTAACAACATTTAACTATTTTCCACACATGCTCTACTCTCTTCTCACAGAAGATTCTGCAAGCTACAGAATATGTTGTGCTTTTTTTTATCTTGTATTTTCTACTTTAAACATTTTTGTGTCTCTCTACAAACTCTACTGAATCTTAGGGGTTTTACCTTAATTGCCTCAGGACTGTAACTATATCCTGATTTTCTTTCCTAACATCATAATGACTTATTCCTTCTTACCAGCATTAAGCCATGCCTCCCAGTAGCAGCTGAGGAGGAGCTGAAGCACTTGTTGCAGAATGTCAGGGACTGAAACCTAAAATATGGATTGAAATTCAACATCAAAAAAACAAAGATTATCACCACTGGGCCAATTGTCAGAATCATGGTAGATGGTGAAGAGATTGAGATTATTAAGAGCTTCTGTTTGCTTGGCTCCACAATCAACACTCGTAGTATCAGCAGCAAAAGGCAAATTATTCTGGGAAATTCTGCTGTCAGAGATCTCTGTCAATATGGAGACTAAAGTGTGTCTGATCCAAGCGTGTCTTTAAAATTACTTGCTATCCATCAGAAAGCTGGACTAGGGAAGGGAAATTGATGTCTTTGAGCTATGCTGCTGGAGAAGAGTATTGAATGTACCGTGGACTGCCAAGAAAACAAACAGATTCAGATTCATCCTAGACAAAGTGAAATCAGGCTGCTGCTTGGAGGGAAGGATTCTGAATCTTCGTCTGACATACTTTTGACATGTGGCAAAGAGGGACCAGTCCTTAGAGAAGGACATCATGCAAGGAGGGTGGAGGGACAGTGCAAAAGAGGAAGACCCTTGATGAGATGGATTGATTCAGTGACTGGGGTAATGGCGGTAGCTATGTCAGAGACAATGAGGTTGATTCAGGGTAAATTACAGTTCAGAGCTGTTGTACATAAGGCTGCTATGAGTTGCAAGTGACTCAATGGCATGTAACAGCAACAACAAGCAGTAGCATAAAGTTGTGTGTATTGTATCAGGTTATTACTTATGTTTTCTAGGATACCCCTAGATCACATCATTTTTGAGGACAGAAATCTTTAGCTCAGTGCCATCTACAAACTGAGGACTCACTGAATAGCTGATGAATGAAGGCAATTATTGTAGATAGACATTTTTACTCCTAACTCTGCTTAGAAAGCTTTTCTCATGAATCTCTTTCAATTGATCTATCTTTCAAATTGGGTAAACTCATTAAACATGTTTCCTTCTATTTCCTTAAAGTTAGACATCCCTCTTCTAGTAATTATTTTCAACTTAGTGTTTGTGAACTGCAAAATCAATTTTGAACATTGTTATTTTATGGGACCACTTCTCGCTTAACACTTTTTTATTGGATTTTATGGAATAACTTAGAAACACTGAGAAATCTTGATATAGGTGATCGGTAGAGCTGCATCCTTCCCTTCAGACACAGTGAGATTATAACTACCGGATATGCCTCCTTTTCTGCCCCAATTTTCTCATCATCATATTGGAGTTTGTTTTTTCTTTGCAGTAGTTGGCTTATACTTGAGCATGTTTATAGAGAAATTTTGTCAAATCTCGAAATGATCATTAATGATAATCGTTATAGTAATGTTACACAGCTTTAGTTTTTTTGTTATTGTTTTGTTTTGTTTTTACACTTTAGTTTTGACTTTAACTTTTTACTTTCTATGACTGCTGAAGACTATTTTCAAAATTACTACAAGCTCACCAAAATAGGAAGGGAGGAAGAGAAAGCTGATGATTGCTTGGCTGGACTAAATTAGACACCAAAGACACTAAAGGTCAAATGAAGGTTGGACACAAAGGTTTATAATTTTGTATTGCACTTTTCTTGTGGGAGGATGTCAAAGATATCATTCAGGACGAGTGTAAACGGTCATTACAAAGACAGAAGAGAAAGAAAAGACCAAAATGGATGTCAGAAGAAACTCTGAAGATTGCACTGGAGCGTAGAGAAGCCAAAGCACAAGGAAGAATTCAAGATACTAAAGAGCTGAACAGAAGATTCCAAAAGGCTGCTCGGAATGACAAAGCAAAATACTACAATGAAATGTGGGAGGAACTAGAGTCAGAAAATCAAAAGGGCCGAACTCGTTCAGCATTTCTTAAGCTCAAGGAACTGAAGAACAGATTCAAACCTAGAGTTGCTGTAATCAAGGATGCTTTGGGCAGAATATTACATGATACAGGAAGTATTAAAAGAAGATGGAAGGAATATACTGAGTCATTATATAGAAAGGAATTGGCAGATACAGAGGAATTTGAAGAAATAACATATGAGCAAGAGCCTATGGTGATGAAGGAAGAAGTTCAAGCTGCTTTGAAGGAAATAGCAAAAAATAAGGCCCCAGGAATAGATGGTATACCAATTGAAGTATTTCAGATAACAGATGTTGCATTGGATGTGCTCACCAAGCTGTGCCAAGAAATCTGGAGAACAACCACTTGGCCAACTGACTGGAAGAGATCTATATTTGTTCCCATTCCAAAGAAAGGTGAACCAACTGAGTGTGGATACTACAGAACAGTGTCATTGATTTCACATGCAAGCAAGATTCTGCTGAAGATCATCCAAAAACGATTAGAACAGCACATCAGCAGAGAACTGCCGGAAGTCCAGGCTGGGTTTAGAAGGGGTCGTGGTACTAGGGATATTGTTGCTGATGATAGATGGATCTTGGCTGAAAGCAGAGAATACCAGAAGAATGTCTATCTGTGTTTCATTGATTATGCAAAGGCATTTGACTGTGTGGATCATAACAGACTGTGGCTGACTCTGAGAAGAATGGGAATCCCAGAACATTTAATTGTGCTAATGCGAAACCTTTACTTGGACCAAGAGGCAGTCGTCAGAACAGAGCAGGGTAACACTGCATGGTTCAAAATTGGGAAGGGTGTGTGCCAGGGATGCATCCTGTCTCCATACCTTTTCAACATGTATGCAGAGCAGATTATCCGAGAGGCTGGTCTCTATGAGGAGAATTGGGGCATCAGGATTGGTGGAAGATCTATTAACAATCTGCGTTATGCAGATGACACAACCCTGCTTGCTGAAACTGAGGAGGACCTCATGCACTTGCTGCGAAGGGTCAAGGACTGCAGCCTTCAGTATGGACTAAGGCTCAATGTCAAGAAGAAAAAGATTCTCGCCACTAGACCAATTAGCAGCGTCAGGATGGATGACGAAGAGATTGAGAGTGTTCACAGCTTCAGTTTGCTCGGCTCCACAGTCAACACTCTTGGTACCAGCAGTCAGGAAATCAAAAAGCGTATCACGATGGAAAAGTCTGCCGTTAGGGACCTCTCAAAGGTACTCAGGACCAACAGTGTCTCTCTGGAGACTAAGGTGCGCCTGATACAGGTCATGGTATTTGCAATCGCTTGTTATGCATCAGAGAGTTGGACAATGACTAGGGAGGACAGAAGGAGAGTGGATGCTTTTGAGCTGTGGTGCTGGAGAAGGGTACTGAATGTGCCATGGACTGCCAGGAAAACAAACAGATTCATCTTGGAGAGGATTAAACCAGGCTGCTCCTTGGAGGCAAGGATTCTGGGGCTTCATCTGACATACTTTCGACATGTTGCCAAGAGGGACGGGTCCTTGGAGAGGGACATCATGCTTGAGAGGGTGGAGGGACAGCGCAGGAGGGGAAGACCCTCTATGAGATGGATTGATTCGGTGACTGGGGTAATCGGGATGGGTGTGTCAGAGGCAGTGCGGTTGGCGCAGGATAGAGCAGGGTTTAGAGCTGTTGTGCATAGGGTCGCTATGAGTCGGAAACGACTCGATGGCACATAACAACAACAGTTGCACTTTTCACTCAGAAGAGAAGATTGTGTGGTTTACAAAGGACTAATGGGTGGGAACAAGTGAGGAAAGGCACCTGGAATGGCTCTTCCCAAAATCCTAGCAAGATGTAATCTTGAACTTTCTTAGGAAGGACCTTGGCTTAAGCACACAGAAGAATGTTGTTAGGGAAAAAAGAGAAAAACAGAGGACAGACTCTTGAAAGAACTGTCTTGTACTGAAGAACAGCAGAAGGGAGAGCAGAAAATGTTGCTGTTGTTTAGGCTTTGCTGTCTTATAATTGGTTCTAATGTTTCAGCCTTTATTTTAACCAACAAGACAGGGAAGGCTCTCCCTTCATCCTTTAATCATCCTTTCGAATGTGTACCTTTCCCTTCAGAAGGAAGACTAGAGTAGAACACACACTGACATATGTTGCTCTTGATTATTAATTTTATAATTATATAATTCACTCTTCTGGAACAATCACACAGATGTCCAGCTTTGGTCTTTTGAAGAATAGGAATACTCTTCTTGTCCATGGAACATTAGAATGTGAAAACTAAGCACTCACAAGTGTTTTCAGCACTGCCAAATCTTCCTATTGTTGCAGATGACTCTCCCACCAGTGTTCAGCCTGAAAAGGGTGGCAAACTGCTCGCCTCACAGATGGCTGCTGTCTTAAGAAAGAGGCTCCTCCACACGCTCCGGGACTGGAAAGGCATGCTCTCAGACCTGTTGTTGCCTGTTCTCTTTGTGGCCTTGGCCATGGCCTTATTCATGGTGAGACCTTTGGCTATCAGCTACCCTCCCCTCAAACTGACACCTGGACATTATGAGAGGGCAGAAACGTATTTTTTCAGGTAAGAGTTATTTTTCCTTTTTGTTTAAAAATGATGTCATGATAGATTATGATTGGAAATTTCTCTGAGGCTTTTAAGTATTTTGTACTAAAATGTCAAATGAAAAAAATTGACTGTGTGATTCTCATTATTTTAGAGGTCTAGGTAAAAAAGGGTGACCTTTGAAAAGCCTTCGCTCAGTTCATCCTGAGCTTGTCTCATCGGCAAATGCAAACCTTGTGTCATGTCTGTGTGTCTCTGGGCTTAGCAGTGCCTTCTCAGGTGTCAGGGTCCCCTTTGTAACAATTCACCATACCGTGGGCTGCTATGCCAGATCCCACCAAGCACAAATGCATAAACCTTTATTAGAAACGAGCAGGGCTAGATGATTCTAATGCTTCAGAATTTTTAAGATTTTGAAAAGAATGTTGTTGTTATTGTTATGTGCTGTCGAGTTGTTTGTGACTCAGAGCGACTCTATGTACAACAGCCCTAAACCCTGCTCTGCCAAGTGCCAATTACACTGTCTCCGACACACCCACCCCGATTGCCTCAGTCACTGAATCAATCCACCTCATAAGGGCCTTCCCCTCCTGCTCTGTCCCTCCACCCTCCCAAGCATGATGTCCCTCTCCAAGGACTGGTCCCTCCTTACAGCATGTCCAAAGTATGTCAGACAAAGCCTCAGAATCCTTGCTCCCAAGGAGCAGCCCTGTTTAACCTTCTCTAGGATGAATGAGTTTGTTTTCTTAGCAGTCCAAGGTACACTCTATACTCTTCTCCAGCACCACAGCTCAAAGGCATCAATTCTCCTAAATTGAATATTTGACAATACCCTCAACAATCAGTTCAAGAACAGCAACTTATAATCAGAACTATAAACATCTCCACATCAGTTTAGGCCAGATTCTTCTCCCAATAAATTCAGGTCTCTTTAACTTTTACCATGAAATTTAAAAGAAAGTTCTCAAAGCTTTATTGATTTTAGGTTGATATATCTTTTGACTTCCTAGCTGCTGGTGCCAAGAGTGTTGACTATGGAGCCAAGCAAATGAAAGCTGTGAACAATCTCAATCTCTTCAACATCCATCATGATGCCACCAATAGGTCCGGTGGTGAGAATCTTTGGTTTCTTGATATTGGGCCTTTTGAAATCTTCTCTTCAGCTCTTTAATATCTTGAATTCTTCTCTCTGCTTTGACTTCTCTGCTCTCTAATGCAATTTTCAGAGTCTCTTCTGACATCCATTTTGGTCTCCCCCACCCCTGGTTATGTAATGACCTTTTGCACTCTTCTTGGATTATATTCTTGATATACTCCCACAACTCATCTGGTCTTCGCTCATTGGTCTTCAAGCCTCATACCTATTCCTGACATGGTTTGAAATTCAGGTGGTATAGACTCAAGGTTATATGTTGGTTCCTGTGGATTCAATTTAATTTTCCTTAGCTTCAGCTTGAACTTGAATATGAGTAGTTGGTGATCTGTTCCAGAACCAGCATCTGGCCTCGTTTTCACAGCTGATATTGAGCTTCTCCAGTGGTTCTTTCCACAGATGTAATCAATCTGATTCCTGTGCATAATGTCAGGTGAAATCTGTGTGAATAACCTGCATTTATGTTTCTTATAAAACATATTTGCAATGGATAAATTGTTGGTTGTGAAAAATTCAATCATTCTATCTCTACCGTAATTTCTGTCACTGAGTATGTTTTCCAACTATTGATCTTCTTCTCTGTTCCCCACTTTTGCATTCCAGTCACCCATTATTATTAATGCATCTTGACAGCATGTTTGATCAATCCCTGACTGTAAAAGTTGATAGAAATCTTCTATTTCCTCTTCTTTGGCTTGGTTGATGGTGCATATATATGAATGATAGTGGTATTCACTGGACTTCCTTGTATGTGTATGGATATCATCCTGTTCCTCACAATATAGTATTTCAAAACATGTCTTGAAATTACTTTTTTAACTATGAAAGCATACCCATTTTTCATCTTTTCATATTTGGCATAATTAATAGATCATATGATTGTCTGACTCAAAATGTCTGCTGCCAGTCCGCCCCATCTTGCCAATACCTGGTATGAAATTATTTATGTGTTCTAGTTCAATATTCCATTTTCCTGCATTCATTGTTCTCACATCCCATGTTCCAGTCATTAGTGTCTGCTTACAACTGTTCATCTTCCTATTTATTTCCATACTTGATAGCTTCACTTCAGTTGCCCTGTCTGTTAGTCTAAGTGTGTATATAGGGTTTTTGGAGGGCTGCTATTTCAGAAGTGGATGGCCAATCCTTCTTCCTTGTCTGTCTTAATCTGAATGCTCAGATTTAGAAAAGTATCTGATAAACAAGCATTATACGGAAAAAAGCAGATGAAAGATATTTCCCCAATTGTAGAATTAACTAATAGTTTCAGTTGTCTCCACCCTTGACACAAATGTCTTGACTCACCCATTATAATACTTTGTTTTGTTTACCTGAGCTATCTTTTGAAATTTTTTGTTCAGCTCTTTTACTCCATCATGTTTTGCTTTTGTTTTGACACTGCACTCCAATTTTTAAAGTCTCTTCTTTCTTTTCTATTTTTGTAATGACTTTTTATTTTTTCATGGATGATGTCCTTGAAATCATCCCACAACTCATCTGGTGTTCAATGTCTCAAAGATGATCTAGAAATTCAGATGGAATTCACTGAAACAGTTAGGAAATAAGGAGACACTACATTAGGAAAATCTGCAGTTAGGGACCTCTCCCAATTATTGAGAAGTAATGATGTCTATTTGAGAACTAAAATGTATCTGATTCAGGTCATACTCATTCTAATCACTTGGTATGTTTCTGAGAGCTGGACAATGCATAAGGATAGCAGAAGGAGAATTGATGCCTTTAAGCTGTGATGTTGGAGAAGAGCACTGAACCTCCCATGGATGACCAAGAGAACAAACAGATATGTCTTGGAAAAGGTACAGTTGGAGTGCACTTTGGAGGCAGGAATGATGAGTCTTAACCTCAAACACTTTGGGCATGTTGCTAGGAGGAGCTATTCCTTGGAGAAGGACATGATGCTGGGAAGGGTAGAGGGTTGGCGAAGGAAAGAAAGACACTCAGCCAGGTGGATTGAAATGGTGACTTTTGCAATGGACTCTTGTGTGTGAGGTAGTAAGAGAATAGCACAGGATAAAGGAGGATTCAGATCTTTTGTTCATAGAGTCTCTATGAGTCTTATTCTACTTAATCACACCTAAAACCAAAAACAATATCTAATGCTACTTATATATTTTCCCCCTTTATTTTGGATATAAGGACTCCCAAAGACAGCTACTTGAAAGTACTTTATAAACCATATGTAAAGTAGAAATCTGTATTCTTTATTAAATATTATTATCCAGATTTTTAATTCATTGAAATGGGACATTTTCTCAACTAGTAAAATTTAGAGAAACTTTAAACACCCTTTTTCTTTTATTTTCTTACCTCAAGACTCATAATTTGTGTGTGTGTGTGTGTGTGTGTGTGTATAAAACATATATAATTTATATATATATATATGAAATTGGTTTCCCCAGCTGTCCCTAAGCTGTCTTGTGCTGCTATTTTCAAATAAGATATTTTGTATTGATGTCCTTGGTTCTCCATGATATTTGAACTATTAGTTGACTTCATAAATTATTTCCAGTAAAAAGAAATATATTATTGAGTACTTAAAACTCATATAGAAACCTATGTACAACAATTTTTCTCAAGAAGATGTGGTTTACAATAGTTCACATACAAAAGCAAGCATAAATATAAAAAACTGTCATATTTCAGGATGAAATAATAGAAAAAATATTCAAATCAATCAAGGTTTTAACCACTAAGAGAGTTTTTCTTAGCATATAAACATAATGTGATATACTGTGCCTTTAAAATCCATTTTTTAAAAACAAAAAACAAACCACCCAAAGCTATGCAGATTGTATTAGAGAAGGTGCAACCAGTGTTTCTTGGAGGCAAAGGTGATAGATAACTCTCCATCTTTCATACTTTGAGCATGTTGGGGAGAGACATCATGTTTGAAAAGATAGAGGGACAGTGAAGGAGAAAATCCTCAACCAGGTAGATTGACAAAGTGACTGTAGCAATGGGCTCAAATATGTTAGAGGTTATAAAGATGGAATAGGATAGGACAAAGTTTAGGTCTGTTATTTATAGCCTCACTGTGAATTGTATGCAACTCAACAGTACCTAACAACCAACAACCATGAGACTGTAATCTATATGAATGATTGTATGCAAACAATAATAACATGTAATTAAAGAAAAGATGGTCATGGCAGAATAGTAAGCAAAAATGAACAAATAAAATATTGTTTACACTGCAAATGTAAGTATACAACATATTCATATTTATGGTGATAAATATATTGGATTTTTGCTATCAGATTTTAAAAAAACATTCATGTACATTATGTTTTATATAGTCATACAAATATATTTCATTCATATGCTTTGTGTTTATACAATATTAGATAAAGATAGCATTTTATATAATTAGTTAGCATTGATCTATTTCTATTACCATCTCAACTCATCTCATCAAGGCCCATTGTATGCATTTTGAAGAATTTTTTTTTTAAAGAATTGTTTGAATACTGTTACTGCTTTGACTCTTGGGCCTCCTTTGAAGAGCACAGGCTGAGATTTGTTAATGATGTCTTTTTTAACTCCTTTCTCTTTCTACAAGTAGCACTAAGCATGATGACCTGGCACTGGCCCACACACTTTTAAGGAAGTTTGAAGAGCAGGATGTGATTTGTGCCAAGTTAAACCCAGACCTGTAAGTATGAATTTCCCTATGAACATTTGACATGTGAACTGGGGAGGATCTTTTCCTCCATGGTTGTTTATTCTCTGCTGCAAATGTATATCTTGGACTTGTCAAAGAGAAAACTAGAGGCTTTATACAATGTTAATAGTGAAGAGTTTATTGACGGTCTTGAAAAATAAACTTACAAAATAAAACTTTTATAATTGAGAATGCTAAGGTCCCGAGGATTACAAATTTGTTGTTGCTGTTAATTGTCAAGTGCCATCGAGTTGAGTATAACTTATAGTGACCCTGTGAACAAAAGATCTGTAAGTTGTCTTGTTTTGCACTGTCCTCACACTTCCTAACACTCAAGAGCCCATTGTAGCAGTCACCATGTAAATGATGTTTGTTACTGATTTTCCTTATTTCAAATTACTTCCATTCCAGGATCTACCAGTACACTACCATAACTATCTTTTTAATTTAGTGTTCATAGGGTTTTGGAAAGCCTTTTATTTAGGAAGTAGAAGGCCCATCCTGCTTCCTAGTCTGTCTTAATCAGAATCTGACACACCAGGGGAAAAGGTTTCAGCATCACAGCAACCTCAGGCAATTGCAACACAACAAACAGACAAGTGTTGCACTACTTGGAACAAAATTCTCTCCAAATACAATCAGTAGCAGGCCTGAGGGCTACAGGCCCAAGGGCCCAAACAACTTTTAAATACAAAAGCCCACCCCTCATATGGATAACAAACTTCTTGTTGTTATGTGCCATCTAGTCTCCTGTGACTCATAGCTACCTTATCACAACAGCCCTAAACCCTGTTCTGTCTAGTTCCAGTCTCAACCAGCTCCAACACACTCATTCCCATTACTCTAGTCACTGAATCAGTGCACCTTATAGAGGGTCTTCCTCACCTGCACTGTCCCTCTGCTCTTCTAAGCATGATGTCCCTCTCTAAGGACTGGCCCCTCCTTGCAACATGTTGAAAGAATGTTAGATCAAGCATCAGAATCCTTGCCTACAAAGAGCAGCCTGGTTTAATGCTGTCTTGGATGAACCTGTTCATTTTCTTAGCAGCCCATGGTATATTCAGTACTCTTCTCCAACACCACAGTCAAAGGTATCAATTCTCCTTCTATCCTACCCAGTCATTGTCCAGCTCTCTGATGCACAGCAAGTGATTGCAAAGACCATGGCTTGTAGCAGGCCCACCCTAGACTCCAGAGTGACACCATTGTTCTTCAGTACTCTGAAGAGGTCCATAACAGCAGACTTTCCCATCCCAATGTGCCTTTTAATTTCCTGGCTGCTGGTGCCAAGTGTGTTGACTGTGGAGACCAGCAAACTAAAGCTGTTAACAACCTCAATCACTTCATCATACATCCTGATACTGCCATTTCACCCAAAGTTGAGAATCTTTGTCTTCTTGATATTGAGCCTCAATCCACATTGAAGGCTCCAGTCCTTGACCTTCTGCAGCAAGCACTTCAGGTCCACGTGCGTTTCAACAAGCAGAGTGGTGTCGTCTACATAACAGAGATGTTGATGAATCTTCCACCAATCCTGATGATATACTTCTCCAGTCTCCCAGAAAATCTGTTTTGAATATAGGTTGAAAAGGTATGGAGATAGAACACGTCACTAGAGTCACCCTTCCCAATTTTGAACCATGAAGTGTTTTCTTGCTCTGTTCTAATGACTGCCTCCTGGTCTTAGTATAGGTTTTGCAATAGCACAATTTAGTGTTCTGGGATTCCCATTTTTCTCTGAGTCAGACACAATTTGTTGTGATCCACACAGTCAAACACCTTTGCATAATCAATGAAACACAAATGGACATTCCTCTGATACTCCCTCCTTTCAGTCAAGATCCATCAAAACATTGTTGTTGTTGTTGTTATGTGCCATCGAGTCGCCTGCGACTCATAGCGACCCTA